TATATACAGAATTTTACAAAATTTATACTTAATTATATAAAAATATATATATAATTTAAATCGTTAATAAAAGTTTCTATATAAAATTCTGTACCAAGTAATGTGGAATTCGCCTTCAATTCTGTATATTTATATATAGAATTTTATACAGAATTTATACAGAATTTACACAGAATTTATACAGAATTTATACAGAATTTATTCAGAATCTATTCAGAATTTATACAGAAAAAGTTTAGTATAATTCAAGATAATTTCCATATATATTTTTATATAGAGAACAAATTTATTATAAAATTAAAATATGTCGCAATAATTACAGATTTAAATAGATCGTCATCTTATTTTAGTACAGTAAAACCTCTATAAGTGCATGCCCTTGAGACCAAGCTTTAACAATGTGCACTTAGAGATTAATAAGAGAAAGTGCATTTATAGAAAGCATATATATATCTGGGCCTGAACTTGAGCGTGAATTTAGAGAGGGTGTGTACTTATAGAGGGTGCACTTATAGAGATAAACAAACAAAGATCATTACTCTTACTTAAATAGGATTTTTTTAAAGAATCAGCATAAACGACATCAAAAATATATATTATCATCATTTTGAAATATGCCATAAATAGAGAAAAAAGAGATAACCATAATATCTTCTAAAATAAGAAAAAATATAGCGCATCAAAAAGTTGAATGATACCATCCCTCTACATTTTATGTAATTATACTAGTATTGAAATTATAATTCTAATATAAACCAACTTAATCATAACTACTTACTATAACAAAAATTTTTATAGTAACTCACAATATAAATTATAATAATTCTAATACAAATAAATGATTTGAAGCAAATACTGTGTAATATCAGAATAATAAGCAAGTTCTAAAGCAGAAGTTTTTACAGTAACTTATAATAAAAATTATAATAATTCAAATCATACTAACTTATTTTTCACTGCATGCTATGTATAATTGAAATAGCAAGTTTAAGAATATTTTTTTTCATAGTAATTCTAATGCAACCATAAGTATATACTTTGCATTATTAGAATAATATTTTGCAATGAAATTTTTTATAGTAGCTCACAGTAGAAATTATACTGCAATTCAACTCAACTACATACTGTGTATTATTGGAATTTTAAATTTAGTGAAAAAATTTTTATAACAGAAATTATAATAATTCTAATACAGACTAATCATTTTACTTATAATATGCTAATCTCAATCTTTAACTTTAATTATATACTATATATCACTAGAATACAAGTAAATTCCATGACAGGATATTTTACAGTACAGTACATTACAATATAATAATAAATTAAATACATATACATATATGCATATATAAGATAGTTGAACAATTTATAAATAATTTTATTATTTATAGATTAATATTAATAAATATGCATGCACTATTCTATTTTAGTAATAAATAAGTTTTTTAATTAAATGGAAAAAGTTTTTTGCCATATAACTTTTTTATTAAAAAAAAAATTTTACAATTCTTTTTTTAAAAAAATACAATTTTTTAACAAAATTATTTATTTTTTATTTTTTAAACTAATAAATTATTAATTTTAAAGATTATTAAATAAATTATATATAAAAATAAAGTAAGTTTAATAAAATTTAACTAAAGTATTAAATATTTAAAATTATTTTATTAAATTTAAAATTTAAAAAAAAGATAAAATTTTATAATTAAAAGTAAAAATTATTATAAATTACAATATTTATTTATTTAGAAGATTGATATATATACTATTATTTTGTTATTTATACTCTAAATTTAATCATCACATCATATGATGTTGAGGCTCCAAAATTCAAACTTCACTTTTTAATTAGTAATAATGCTTACCAATCGAAAACAGTATTTGAATTTTGGAGATCCGATATCATATGATGCGATGACTAAGCTTAGAGTACAATAACAAAAATAATAGTATAAATAATAATTTTCTTTATTTAATATATATTATATATTTATTTATAAATTAAACAAATAATTAATAATATTATTTTAATTTATTTTTTATAAAATAAAAATGTTAGAAGAAAGACAACCTACCCCTGAACATATTAAAGAAAAATATAAAACACCACCTCCTACAGTTATTGAAAGTGAAGAGAATAAAGAAAAAAGACAACGAAATAAAAGAGCTACTAAAAAAAGATATTATGATAAACTAAAAAAACAAGCTGAAGAACAAGGATCTTTAAATAGAACAAGATCTAAAATTTCTCCAATATCATCAAGAACAAAATCACAAACAGGTTCAAAAAAAGATGCTAGAATAAGATAAAAAAGATATAAAGCTTCTATAGATACAGATAAAAAAGAAAAAATAAAAAAAAAGAATAGAGAAAATAAAAAAAAATATAAAGAAAAAAAAAGAAGAAGAATTAAAACAATTTTTCAAAATAGAACTTTGTTGTTTAGATGAATATGAAAAGAAGATAAAGAAAAAAAAGAACAATAGTAATAGTAATAGTAATTATAATAGTAATAATAATAATAATAATAATAATAATAAGGATAATAGAAATAATAATGAAGATAAAGATAATAATAAAAATGATAATAGTAATGAAAATTATAATAAAGATGATGATAGAAATGATGATAGAGATAATGATAGAGATAATGATAGAGATAATGATGATGATAATAATAATAGAAATGATGATGATAATAATGATGATGATAATAATAATAGAAATGATAATGATAGAGATGATGATGATAATAGTGATAATAATGATGATAATAATATTAAAAAACATAGATTAGAAAAAATGAATATTATTTGTAAACATTGTTTTGCTTTAAAATGGAAAGAAAAAAAAGAGATTTTGTTGTTTAAATGAACAAATCCAATTAGCACAACTTAAACTACCACTACTAGCAATTGAAATTTTACTTACAGAAGAAGATCCAGAATCTAATAAACTTTTTGTTTTTAAAATAATAGCATATAATCAAATATTTGCTTTTACATCAATTAGTGGTACAATATTAGATAAAAAACTTGCCAATGCTAAAAAAGGAGTTTATACTTATAAAATTTGAGGACAATATTATCATCAACATGATTTTTTAATGCCTAAAAAACTTAAAGGAAAATAACCAGAACCAAAATTTGCTCAAATATATTTTTATGATGGTGATAATTTTGATAGCCAACTTAATATAAGACATAAAATAATGAATAAAAACAAACTATTAAATAAAAATATATTAAGTGAACTTCAATTTGAATTGTTTAATAATAATCTATTTATTCAAATATTTTTAAATATGCAAGAACTGAGAAAAAAAAGATCAAATAGTGAAGTATTATATATAGCAATACATAATATTTATAATAAAGATATGAGAACTTATAATGCACCAAAAGCAAATGAAGTAGCTATAATATATAATTATGAAAGTGATGAACAGAAACAAAATGAAAGAAATATTATTATTAAAAAAAATAATAATACATTAATAAGAATATCAGAATTACATGGTGCTTATAATCCTTTACAATATCTATTGTTATTTATATTTGAAGAATATGGTTGGCATAAAGGTATATTAAGAGCAAATGTTCAACAAAAAAAAATTAAACAAAATGAAAATGAAGATATTGATATACAAGAAGAATTTCTTAAAATAATTGAAGAAGAAATTGTTAACCAATTTGAAGAAGATGAAAAAGATCAAATTGCTAATCAAGTTGTTACAAATATTATTAAAAATTTTAATTTAAATTTAATTGCAGATATGACTAAAGAACAATTAAGTGAATTTTGGTGACAAAAAATCAATAATTATATACAAGAGGCTAAAAAAGATATTCAACAAGAAAAAAGTCAGCAAAAAGAAATTTAACAAAAAAATTATTGAAGTTAATGACTCTTCAAAAATAATATTTGTTGAATTTGACAATTTATTACAAAAAAGTTCAGGTTTATTAGGTGTTTTTGATGATATAGCTTTTAAATTCTCTACAAATATGAGTATTAGTATATATAGTGAAGAAAAAATTGTAGAAGAAGAAATTGAATCTAAAACTGAATTAGAAAAAGATAATATTGAATCTCAAACTGAATCAAAAAAAGATAATAATAATAATAGTATATTTAAAACTCAGCAGAAAAAAACAGATAAAGAAAAATATAAAGAAATTGTTGAATCTGAAAACAATGATAGTGATACTGATAATAATAATAATGATAATGATAATACTACTTCTGAATCTGAACAATCTGTAAAATGGAAAACAAATAATTTAAATTGGCAATATAATAATCAAGCAAAATTAAGAACTGAAACATATCATGAATTAAATGATATAATTTATAATAAAGATGCTGATTTAAATCAAGTTGGTAACCAAATAATATTGTCATCAAGTTTTACAGGATCTACAAGATATTTTTAACAATTGTACCAAGATGCAATAGCAATTGTTAGAAAATTTGGAAAACCTAATTTATTTATTATAGTAACTTGCAATCCAAAATAGCCTGAAATTATAAGTGAACTTTTATCAAATCAAAAACCTTCTGATAGACCAGATTTAATTGCAAAAGTTTTCAAATTAAAATTAGAAGCAATAACTTATGATTTATTTGTAAGAGGCTTTTTGGAAAAGTTATTGCCTATATACATGTAATTGAGTTTCAAAAAAGAGAGTTGCTACATGTACATATTTTAATAATATTGGCACCTGAAGATAAACCAAAACTCTAGAAGATTTTGACCAAATAGTATCTGCTGAAATATTTGATAAAGATAAACTACCAAAATTATTTAAAACAATTAGTAAAAGTATGATTCATAGACCTTGCGGAGATAAAAATCCATTATCTCTATGTATAATTAATAGAAAATATAGTAAACATTATCCAAGAGAATTTGCTAAAACAACAACAACAAATAAATCTGGATATCTTACATATTGAAGAAGAAATAATAAAAGAGAAATTAAAATAAAAATAGAAAGAAAACTAATTTCTATTGACAATACATGGATTGTTTCTTATAATCCATATCTTAGTCAAAAATATAATTGTTATATTAATGTAGAGATATGTTCAAGTATTAAATCAATTAAATATCTTTACAAATATATTTACAAAAGAGAAGATAGAATTTTAATTTCATTAGTAAATCCAAAAAATAAAATTAAAAATTTGTAAATACAAGATATGTTTTTGCTTCTAAAGAAATCTGGAGATTATTTAATTTTGGTTTATAACAAAGATTTTATAAAGTTGAAAGACTTCTAATTCATTTAAATAGTCAACAAAATATTCTTTTTAAAAAAGATAGTAATATATCAAAAACTCTTAAAAAAGAAAAATATACAAAGTTGACACGATATTTTGATCTTTGTAATAATAAGCTTGATAATAATGAGATTCGAAATTTAAAATATATAAATATTCCAAAACTTTATATTTGGAAAAATAATAATTGGCAAAAAAGAAAAAGGTGGTGAAAAAGTAATTTCTCGAATACATTTTGTTAATCTAAAAGATAAAGAAAGATTTTACTTAAGAATATTATTAAATATATCCTGGTGCTAAAGGATTTGAAAATATAAAAACAATAGAAGAAATAATTATAAGTTATCGTCCGGCAGTTGTTACTGCTATAGTCATTTGATCATATAAAAAAAAAATCATCGCGGATTTAAAAGTCAAGTAATTTACTGATAATATACTATAAATAAGAATTTCTTTTGTGGTTTCGTCATCTCTTTTTCCACTTTCATAAACAGTATACTTCTTAAAATAAAAAAATAGAAAATTTTTTTTAAGAAAAAAACACTATGCCTAAAGACAAACAAAAGGTTCACTTGTTGTCTATTTAT